TGCTTGGAGGAGAATTTTTTATTTTCCTGAAAACATTCTAACATCCACTCTCCAGGAATAAAATCTTTGTCCAAAACTATTCAAATTTCTCACCCATGTGTGACTATTATGTCAATTAATTCCAGAGATTGTGAGACAGTGAGATTAAATATTTAAATATCATTTCTGTAGCCCACTGACTTTGTTAGCCTTGAAAAAGAAATTGAGACTCTGGGACAATGTTGCCAAAAAAATTGAGATGAAGACACCCGTGAAATATGACTAAAATTCTACAAAATGCATAAACATATTTTCTGCAGGGCTCTTTGCCCCCTCCCATCTAATTCTAAATTAAAAGAATACTAAAAACATCAAAACAAAGCAAAATCATAGAAATTTCCCTCCCTGGGGCAGGTCTGGGGTGGGGTATGCAGATTTCGGTCAAAAATTTTTTAAAAAAAGAGACATTATTGATGTGCTTACCTGAGCTCAGAATGCCTGGAATCCCATTTCTGAGGACCTCAATTTCAAACATGGGGGAGGGGGAGAAGGGCAGGGGAGGGGAGGATGCCCTGCACACCCCTACATGGGACCACCTTCGATGGTACATATCTTGACGCCCCCTCCCCACTCTAAAATGCTGTATCCTCCCCAGCCTCTATCACGAAGTGACCTGAAGAAAGCCCCCTGTGATGCTCATTAACTAAGCTATGAAAATGTTTGACAAGTAAGCAATATTTGTATTGATTTCTTTACCTATAATAGAGAACATATTAGCAAGGTGCACACAGTTGCCATTGTTTAATACTTGGTTCAAAGCAATGATCTCATTGAGAAACAAAACTGTAGATACAATTGAACCCTGCTATTCCAAACCTCGGGGGAAACAAAAAATAGTTCAAAATAGCGGGAGTTTGAAATAACTGATAGTAAATGACTAAAGGGTGAATCCACTTGAGAAATAATTTTGAGTATGAAATGACAGGGAATTCAAAATAACCAACTGTACTACCTAACAACTGTTGATCTCAAATAACTGTAATATTCAAGCTCTACAAAATAATTCATTCAAGTAATAAATTTTCATTAATAATATTTATTTCAGATTTTATTTTAGTGTATTAAATTTAATTATTAATTTTTTTTTATATAATCATCTACTGAACCACACAAACTTGTTAGATTAACCTATATTTAAATAGTTTTTATTATTTGCCACAAAATCCCATGTTAAAGCCCCCCCCCCAGTTATAAGACCCCCCCCCGAATATAAGCTCTTCCATTTGCTAACAAAGAACAAAGATATTAGTCCGGATATAACCCCGTCCCCCCGGATATAACCCATCTAATGTATATGGACGTTCCTTTTGCGTTTTTTAACAAACAACAAAATTTTTAATCAAAGTTATAGGCTAATAGATTAATAATGTAATTTGTGATAATCGATATTGACGTAAATTAATATTTTGATGACACGAAACAGAGAACTGGGTGCTAGCGTAGTTCGCAAAGGCTCGTGGTTAGTACGTTTGTAAAAAGAGACGGTTGAGAAACTTGTGACATTCTACGGTCAGCCTGGCCACTAGCACTTTCGCATAAAGTTTATTTTTATTGTGTGAATAACGTTATCTGATATATCTTTCATTCGTTGCTCATATATCAACTTTAAAACCCCAAAGATGGTGCCACTATATTTGGTCACGGTCCCAATTTTTCATAATACGAGGTTTTGGGGCTTACGTGTCCGGCTTTGGCGCATGTAGGATGTTATTTGTTGTATCTCTTATCCGCTTTGTTGTAAGCTTATTGTCACAATGGAACATATCTTGGGCCTGGCTGACCAACGCGCCCATGCCCCAGCCTTGAAGTGTTTGGTTGTGTAGTGAAGGC